GGGACACAAGCTCTAACCGCGGGATGGTTAAATTCTTCTTGGACAGCCTAGAGCTTGCAGCTATTAACCCTTGGCTTGTGATGGACTGTTCTTCGAACACGATGCGCCCTTTAGTGGTCTCTGCTGTTTCACGGACGACAGGTTTCACTTGGTTAAAATCTTCGCYGAGAAACGCTGGGTACTTCAGTTAACCGTCGATGCCGTGAAGATTCTGGGCTCGAGATTSAAGCGTCGCAAATCCAGTCGATTCCTCCAGAGTCTTTCCGGCGTCAGCATACCGCTGACATTAGCCTKGGCTCGAGATTGGAATCGACCGGATTTGCGACGCTTTTCCGTCGCAAATTATGCAAATGAGGTCAATTTTGTTTTCTGCTTTAGAGCATTAAGATAGCAAAAAAGAAGAAGGTTTAGCACACAACTTAGTTTAGSACCGGTATTTTCACCTTTTTAAAAACACAAATGTGTAAAAACATGTGTGGTTCTGCGATAAAAGTATGATCTTCTCGACTAATCAGGCGAGCGCGCGCTGGCGACTTGAAAACTTGAAAACAATGTGTGCTCGCGTCATTTTCAACCAATCAAGAATCGAGAAATAACGCATGGACCACCCCAGATAATCTCATGTTGTGTAAGTATCTAAAGTTTAACTTTTGTTCTTCTGTCTTTCATAAGCATTTTTAAATGTTTAAAAACCAAGAATTTTATACGGATACTAGTKTCGCTTTATTAAGCCTTTTCAATCCGTATTTTGTTCAAGGTATTTCGAAATCAAAATAAGGAACCTCCCCAGATACTTCCCACAAGGCTGCGCGTCGCGCGCATCAAACCGAGGTCAGGGTAAAAGAAAAAACGAGCAAATCCGTTGAAATCTCTTTTTCCACAGTTTAATGTGAGTTTACTTTTCATTTTTTTTTCTGTATTTACTATGGAAAAGGCGAATACAGTTGCAACGAAGATTGTTTTTTGTAAGAAGCAAGATTTTTTTTGTTAATCGCATATAATTTCACGAAAAAGTGCATTAAGCGGGAAAAATATCACGAAAAATCACCGTCGAAACAGAGACATGAAAAAG